TGTTTACACCTCTGAGACGCTTATCTCCGAGCAGATGCAGCCAACAAGCAAAGAAGAAGAAATTCGCTGAATGTAGAAACAAACAAACAAACAGCCTCATGAAAGCACGGAGAGCTCTTTCCTAGTTAGTCACTCTAGTTAGCCAGAAATCAACTGAAAAGAAAGTATGGATATAATTTGGACAGAGGACATGCCAAATAAACCAATGATTTGTCTGTCATTATAATGTCTGATGTATCATATTGCCTCATATAAGGTACTTAGTATTGACACCAAATCACATCAGTGTCCCTCCTGGTACCATAGAAAGCCATTATTTAGGTGTCTAGCAGTGTCATCAGCCATCAGTTGTACAGGGTCCCTTTTAAAGCCTGTAGAAGCCGCTATGCCGGCCATCACATCCACTACGGCAGTGTCCTCTAAAATATCCAGACCCAAATCTCTGTAGTCTGCAGAATAGAATATGGCTGTGGCAAGGTAAACACCTCCCTCATCACATTCAGCAGTCCATGCGACAATCCTCTGTTTGCCGCTTGATTCCATTTTGTTTTAGGAAGGTGGTGGGGGAGGTAATGAACATATTTTGTCTAAACGGTGTGGTGCTGAATGTCTGACTGTTTTAATGAAAAAAACATCTGCTGCAACTTTTGCTTTTTTTATGGTAAAGATTTGGAAAATATTGTGAACATGGGTAAATAACAGAAATACAAATTGTGACCAGTGCAAAAAGCAATCATCCTCCGTTCTCCACCTCAACACCTAACCACATAACCGCTCTTATGCAACGTAGTTTGGTATTAAGAATATATTACTTGGGGAAAAAAACGCTATTCTTTCAGCATTTTTTTTTCTTTTCAAGATTGGATCGGATGCCATGAAGGTCTCCAAAATGTGTTATCCTCCTTCCTCTTTAGGAAGACCGTGTGTGTGCGTGAGTTGATACAGTACAGTACATGTACACGCCTGTTCAGAATGGGCTGAATGCTGCTTGGCCTGTGGTATTGCTGCTTGCAGCTTTCTCGACAATCGCCTGTACAAAGAACGTCACAGCCGACACTGGGCCTCCTTGGGTCCTGAAATACATTACGGTTCAAGGAAAAAAACAAAACACGCCCAAGTCCGGATATTCGCAGTTATAATCATCTGTGAAGTACACTTTGCGGATGTATATATTAGTCACTTGCTTTACCATAACCATCACAGTTATAAAGTAGAGCATGCGTTAATAAGTTACTTTGGCAAAAACGTACACAATTTGAGTTGCAATGTCGGAGCAGCATATATTGATTGGCAATATAACTGCCAAGTGTGAAGCAGATCGGATGAACGGTTCTCGAGATTTGCAAAGAACACAGACACACAGACTCAACTTGTTTTAGAGTTAGATGTCGGTGTGTGCTGGACAAAAATAACATTTTATATTTTTCTCATGGCTGAATGGTTTCACAGAAACGTTCTAATGAAGTACAGAAAATCTGATAATTATCAAATGAGAAACACATCAGGGGCTAACTGCTTATCAATAAGTAGCAAATAAGTAGCTCTTAAATAACGGAGTTGAGGATTATTGACAATGATAATGACACGTTACTTAAACAGTATGCCAATGATGCAGTATGTAATGAGTTTCTGGATGTAGTCTCTAAACGCTAGTTTCAGCTGCTTAATAGCACATAACCGATAACTAATTATTACTTCCTGATTACATGCATTTCATATTAGTGACTTTCCTCGTGTCCCCTCAAGTGAAATAGAACATAATCTGACTCAGCTTTCAAGTAGCCACTGACTTTTTATTGGGAGTGTCATTAGTTTAGGATTCATTAGGTCATAATATAGTAGTTCATTAGTTATTGAATAATGTACCATAGAGAGAATCCTCAAAAAAAAAATTCTAATTTAATGAACATCTACATTAACACATAAAAGCCACTTCTTTATTCGTTATGTAGTCCTCTGTTGGAGTCATCCAAGAACTTAGACTCATTGTGATGTACTATATGAATGCATTTCAAAGAGATGGGTTGGAGTTCTTTTTACATCTCTGTGTTGAGTAGTCAATGTTGAGGGTAAGATAAGGCCTCGTTGTGTTTAAAGATGGCTTCTTAAGTTCTAATGGCAGACAGGGAATCCTCAGCATTTATTCTGTCAGGATGTCGCAGTGCTATTCACTTACCCATTCATTCCTTTATGGTGGCTATAGCAAACATATATCTACAGACAATACATACTTAGCAAGATAATCTCTTATATGATGAACTGATGAACTGTGCACACCATGTGCTTGTTATTCTGCTCCCCCTTTTTACTCCCCCCCCCCCCCATCATTCTGTCAGTCTCAGTCCCTTCATTTAGCAGTCTGCAAGTCCTGTTAAATGATTAGTAAGCCCACAAGTGAATATATGCAAATCCTCTTCCACTCCAGCGGCTTAGTGAGCAGCAAGGTTTAAACACACCTTGCTAAAGTCCCTGTCACACACACACACACACACACACACACACACACACACACACATTAAGGTATTCAGCAAAGTGTGCCGGTGTATTCTAAGAAGGAGTTCAAACAATCCAAACATTCTTTGGTGGTTGCTAGGATTCTTGCCTCGAAGATGTACGGCCTCACATACTCTCATGTGAACACGTAGGCCCCCTCATTCTAAAAGAGCGCACGTACACGTTCAGTCACACCCGGGTTAAGTCTGAGCCTTCTGTCTTCTAAGACTTGGCCCATCAGATAGGATTCTGCGTGTAAGGTCCAACCAATAAAAAAAAAGCCCAAATATTCTATTAAGTGCAAATCCTCTCCGCTGGTGGAGCTTGTGGAGTCAGATTAGGACTAGACAAACACTGCCAAGCAGTCATGCCCACACCGGGACCACTGCCAACAAGAAGCCCCACAGATATTGCCGTGTCACTGTGTGTGTGCATGTTTTTTTTTTGGTGCACAGGCTGCAAAGAACCCCAATGTGAGCATTAGCAGGCAGGGGGATGAACAAACTAAAGCTCAGATACGTGCTGCTCAGTGTAATGGGAGGACTCTGTCAGAGATCTGGTTGCAGCTGCAACACACAACCTTTGTGCTGTGTGAATGTGTTCATACGTGTACGCATGTTGTTCTATCTCCTGCAGCGAAGTGGGAGTATACCCTTTGTGTCCATATTATTATAATGTATTGGTGCACACAACAACAGCATAAAATGCACATTTTTATTTGTTGTTTTTTCTAACACACAAATCCATTGAAATTGTCTTCCCTCTGAAGCTGACTTGTTAGTTTGTTCACTGTGGGGTCTGTGTTTATTTAGTAATGGTAGCTCTGTAGCTCGTCTGTGTACTGCAAGCAGACAGCTGCGATGTTTTAGACGGAACAGACAGATTTTTATCGCTCACCCTAAGGCTGCTCATTAGAATTCAGCACACCTTTCCCAAATATCCCTCCATCACTTTCTCTATTGCTGCCTTCTTCTCCCCCCCCCCTGTCTTGCTGTCGTACACATTGGAAGAGAATGCTTCGAGCACAGGGGTGAACTATTGGTCAGCCATCATAACAATGTCTGTGTGAGCTGCATACACAGCAATGCACTCTCACTGATTCGCATTTTTAGCTGTTCTTATTGTCGTGTATACCATCACACAGAGCGTGAATATTATTATGATTATATTATTATATAGTTTTGGTGCGAAATATTCACTGGCGAGTATTTCAAATGTTCATGTTGTTTATTCGTCATGGCCCTATGTGTGTAAAATGGCAGCTTTTCAAGTAAAGTAGCGGATCGGTACTCAGTATCAGCCGATACCCAAAGCCCAGCTATCGGTATCGTGGCTGAAAAAGTTGGATCCCCAACAGACAGAAGTGGCTAAATGGGTGAAGAATGCTGAGCAGCTACAAATCCAAATATTTTCCTCAAGCGTTATTAGAAACAGAAACAGCGATGAAAGGAGAATAAATAATGAACTTACATTTAACCAAACCAATGTTAGTCTTCGCCAAATTGAGCGCGTTCCCCCTAGTGGTTGACAACCGATTAATGCAGCTTAAAAATAATTTTGTAACACTCCTGTTGATGGTATTAAAACACACAGTGTCATAACAAGCGTGAAGAGCATATTTAGTCTCGGTCACGTGTACATTCTCACACACAGGCTTATAACACCGTGCTCAGATATATAACACGTTCTCATACATTAATTGCTAATGTTTCCTGCATCCGTTTTTAGGTAGTCATTTTTGAGTGCAGGCCTTCCACCGATCGTGTGTGTGTGTGTGTGCGTCAACTTTGTTATCCCGGGCTAATTAAGCAATTCCACAGTGGGAGCAGCGGGGGTTTACGGTCATGGAACAACGTGCTCTCCTGGAGCAGTTAGAAAGCCCCCACTTTCATAATTACTCTGCTTCTATCTGTGCAGCAGCTAGAAGTACTCCCAGACGCATACACGAGCACAAGACGCACACATGCTGAATGAAGCATGTTATGTTCAGATCTACAAACACCCACATTCAACTGCTTATGCCTGCTTCTTTGCACATGCTGTACCCACTCACATTCGATGGAATTGTCCTTTTTACTGCTTTGCTTCTGGGTTTGGAGTAGGAGGAGACTCTGTGTGCTGAGGACCTTGCAATGCCATCTTTTGGAAGACGCATCGAGCCTGTCATAATCTATTGAATTCAGTGATGCCTTTGAGATGTACAGATGCCTGTTCAGATCCGTCTATGTCAGTGCGCAGTTATGTGTGTAGGTGGTTGTAGTTTATCAGCGCCAGCAGCATTGATCACTAAACAATGATTTTATATTCGATTTGAGGGCTTAGAGAATGTGCTGCGCCCACTATTTAGATTTCTCTGTTATTTAAATACCGATCCAAAACCGTTGTCTGTGCGTATTTGTGCATGTGTGCGTGTGTGTGTGTTTGTGCGCATGTGCTTGCATGCTTGATTGCACATGTGACTTGAACAAACGCCAACACTGGTGGCCCTGTCTGTTTGTCCCATGCAGACATTCTGTGAGTGTGTGCCCAGCTCCTCCCAGCTCAAACATCGCTGGTCAGACTCAGAAACTGCCAGGGAGACTCCTGCCAAGGTAAGGCCCTGTCATCCACAGCGTACTGTGTAAACCAACAGGCAGACCGGCATGCACACACACACACACCAACATGTGCTTTTGTGTCCTCGGTTATATCAGAAGGACATAATTAGTGAATGTAAGAAAATGATGTTGTATTATCATTTTTATTCTGACTGACTAAATCAACTTATTCACTATTTGTTACCGACTCTTGGTTAAATTGGAATAGGTCTGCAACTGACAATTATTTTCACTGTCAATTAATCTGATGGTCTATAACATGACAGGAAATAGTGAAAGAAATGTTCTCAGGGGGACATCTTCACATTGCTGTTTGTCCAAAAATCCCTTTATTGTTTCCTGTACAACCTCTAGGTCCTACTGTATATATATCCCACCACCTTCCTTCCATTAAAACCAGGGTACACTTTAAACAGTGATTTGCTAAACTGCGGATGGGATTAGGTGTCATTGATGATGATTTTTTTCCTCGCAATCCGCTTTCTCCCTACTTTGGTTGATGGCAGTGCAAAGGATTATTGCACATTACGCATTACACGTTGCCACCGTGCGGCAGCGACTCAACCCCAGCTCAAGTACAAAAACACACAAGTTCTAGACGGGATTAGGCCCCTGCAGATTCTTTCAACTCGGCGGAGTCATCATGGAAAGATTTCATGGCAGGATGTCGGCGGTAGCTGCAGTGTGAGTTGGATACCGATGTGAAAGTGTTATTCATAAGTTGGAGGTGAATGAAATAGAAAGTGGGGCTGGGGAAAATCTAAATTATGAGTTTTTGCTTCAGGCTTGCCATGCATATAGTACGTGTGCCAATTCAGCTTTTAAAAATGTTTGTAGCATCAATGTGACAATATATTTTGTATAAGTCTGCATATGTTTGTGTGTGTGTGTGTGTGTGTGTGTTTGCATTTGAAGGGGAGAAAGCGAGTGAGAGAGAGAGAGCAAGAGTCCCGATTGTTTCCTGCTTATCTAATGAGCAGACAAAGCCTTTCGTCTGCCAATGTTCCTGTGTGGGTGGACAACATCGTTTTCACACAGAAGAATTCTCTCTCATTCTCTGCCTCTCCTCTTTCAATCCAACCATCAGAATTCCCCTGTTGTCCTAAATCCCACGTTGTGGCACGAGGAGAGACACGAGAGGATCTGAAAGTCAGCCACTAATTACAGAGAGGGCTCCTGCTGCGAGATTGAGACTCATTGACAAAGAAGATAACAGTGTTTAGAGGCTGCACGCGCATCATTCTCAGTGTCACAATACCCCGCTGCAACTCGTGATGCTGAGTTGACAGATTTTTAATTCCGTTGGGACATGAAACATGTTGAAGGTTTCAGTTTTTATTGACCATCTGAAAAACACAAAAAAGGCAGACGCGAAACCTCCACAAGTCGTTCCCTTCTGACCTCATGTCAGCCTGAAGTAGAGTAGAATTGTCTAAAGCTCGTTGCTGTGTCAAGTCATTTATGCATCCTGTGAACTGTGTTTTGTTACCTTTATTTCTGGCTGTTATTCATCCAAATTTGTACCTTTAAACTGTCAGAAACTGCTTCATACCTGGTGGCTTAAAATGTTAACATCTGAGGACCATTATGTGCCTGTTATAGTGCATCTGCGAAAGGTTTCATTACATGCCCGGCTGCTCTAGGTATATTTTAGTGTGTGTGTGTCGCTGTCAGCGCATAGAGGGGGGGGGGGGGGGTCACCATATATCTTCTCTATGTTAAGTCGACAATCAGTATGCTAGCAATGAATATTTAGCTCAGTGCCAATGATGGTTTCCACTGATGTCCTGGCCCGCTGGTGGTGGAGCTCAGGGAAACTGTTCTAATGTTACACTGCAGCCATTCTGCAGCGCGAGGCCATTATGCACATTAATAAGCACGGCACAGACACCCTGCTACGTACACATCCACACACATAGCCGAGACCTCGTCATAATCACTCAGCTGCACCTGCACTCGAGTACACGGGGCAAAAAAAAAAAAGACGAAAAAAGACTGTTTGACTTGCAAAGAGAGATTTCATCATGCCGTCACGGTCTGCATCTTAAGTTAGAGCAAGGAGAGAAAAAAAGAATAATGTTACGTGCGGCAATACTTCCCTGGAGCCGTTTTCTGTGATGATGATTTTGGGTGAAAAAACAGGAGGAAGTGGGAAATTTTCTGACATATTAATCCTTTTATTTTTCATGTGCAATATGTGCATGTGCTTGCCTGTCTGTTACAAATATTAGGCAGAATGGGCTGTGTGCAAATAATGTGTGCATGCGCGTGTACGCAGTTTCCAACCCATTCGGAACAAATAGAGCCTCGGGGAGGTACGCAGTGACAGTGCTGATACATCAGTGGTGTTCAGAAAACAGCAGTCATAGAAGTTGGCCCCTGCAGAAAAACAATAATGCATTCTTCTCATCAATGTACTTAGTAAATTCTACCAAATAGACTTATATATTACAGGAATAAAAAACAAAAAAGATCAATATATGCTGAAAGTAAGCATTTCATAATCACCTTCTGAAAAATGATTGTTACTCTCCAGAACAAAGGAATCATTTATTCTTTGGCTTTAGCGTAGGTGGTAAAACAGCTTCTCTTCTCAAAAATGACATCTACTAAATGCATGTATTGTGTTCCTCACCAAGGAAACGTTTGCCTATTGTTTGTCTTCGGGGTTAGCTTTTCAAAATCAAAGCTTAAATCAAATTATTTTTTTTCTGTAAGACATAGACACATTAGATTGCAGCAGGGACTAGCCAGGCCTAGCCCCATGTGTGTCTGCCCATGTGAGTTGTGAATGAAGCCAGGGGGTTACAAATGGGACCTACGTGAGAACAACCATCCTCAGGCTCCACATGAACCCCTTTTTGTGTGCCTTTACTTTGGCTCATGATCGGAGTAAGGAGGGCTACATTTGAGGCCCTGAAATAGAACCCTTTTTTTTGCGCCATCACTATGTGGGCTAATATTTGGGAGCCACATGGTGTATGCCATCCACACTTGTTGTCCACAGAGCCCATATTTCAGCCAACACAAGGACAAGTTGCCGGGGGAAGTTACAACTTTTTTTATTGTGGATAAACACAGTGGATAGGAGTATTTCCTGGACAACACGATTGATTTTCTTCACATTAAAGAAACCATAAACCTCTCTCGTAAAGCAGACCATTAGCTGTCTATTAATGTGCTTCACTGTGCTTGTGCAGCTAATTAACATATTAATGAGCTTGCACTCAGTCACACTTCCACATACAAAAAGACAACAAACACACTCACACACACCTGCCCACATATTCTCACAGAGAACATCTTCCGGTGCAGAAAAAGAAGAAAAATCTGTAAGAGATCACTTGCTGATTCATTTGGAGGAAGATATGGGGGTGCCAGGAATTTTTAATCATGCATAGGTGGGCCATATTGCTCTCTCCTACCTTTTGCTAGTTCTCTGGACCTGAGTGGGAAAATGGATCATAAAAAAGCCATCATACAGGCCTTTATGGTCCAGTTAATGGAGACCATGTTACTGGTAGAGGTCTGCCTTTGTCCTCTAAGAGGATTCTACTTTCTGCTCATTCATTTCAATTCTATTGGCTGTCTTCTTTTCTTTCTTTCTTTTCACTTTCTCCTCCTGGCTGCTGTCATTTCAGGTTTGTCTTATTTTCCTTCCTGTCTCTAAAATGGAAATATGGAACATCGGTGCTTTGACCAGAGGTGTCTCAGGCTAGCATCCTCCCTCTACCGAAACGCCGCTACTCTAATGACATACAGGAAGTTTTACAGAGTTTTGATTCCCAAGACAACTGGCAGTTGTTATGTTTCTACATAAATCATTCACAACTACATTCTCACAAATTGGAATGTTTATATTGCTGAGCATCTGGCATTCAAAATATCCCCAGTAATGGATGAAAGTAATTTATTTTTGAATAAGGCGAGTTTTGTTTGCCGTAACTTTTACTTTCTAGCAACTGTGATCCTAACACCTCATTTTTCTCTTCCTTCCTTCCTCCCTTCCTTCCCTCTTTCCTTCCTACTTACAGAGGATGAGCTGCAGCTACCTGCTTTGCACTATCCTGCTCTTCGTGGCCGTATTGTTGGCTGTCACTGTAACCGGCACCATCCTTTTTATGAATCACTACCAGGCCCCACCCATGTCTGACGGCCTACCCCACATCTCCACCAATCAGGATGAAGCCAATGCCCTGGTCACCGTTGAGAGAGGCGATGGCTCTCGCATCAACATCTTCATCGACCCCAACTGTCCCGACTACAACAGTAACTTTTTGCGCCTGGAGGGTGTGCAGACGTCCCTGCTCCACTCACTTACCGACCACGACTCTGACCTGAAGTCAGTGAAAGGCCAGGATCGGGCTCTTCTTGTCAGTCTGGCTGAGGAGGTGGCCAAGCTGTCAGCCCATGCGGGGCAACTGAAAATGGACTATGAATCCTTACGCAGGGGCCAGGGCAGCCTGGGCCAAGACCTCAACACGCTGCAGACGGAGCAGGGACGCCTCATACAGGTGAGAGATTTTGTTTCTTTTTTGATTTGTTTATAATTGCACATAAAAATGATTGGTTGAGCAGTAAAAACAGATGAACTGAATCCAGTGTACTGAAGTCCCGACTGTAAGTACTGTACGGAGGCGCTCAAGGACTGGCTTGTGAAGCCCCTATCAATATGTATTGATTGTGAAACCACCTTAAGATGTGTGACAGCTCATTGGACTTGAAGTCGGTCTCATTTAGTCCCTTCCTTTTCCTGACTGCAAAATCTTAACACCATCATTCACTAAGCCAGTGCCAACTCAGCCATGTTAATTTCTCTTTGCACTTCACGAACCCAATAGCTGCAAGATTGAACTGCAAATAAGGCTCGTGTTCCGCTGAGTAGAGCTCGCTCAGTCTAGTGTTTGAAGATGAGGTCACAGGGGAAGAGATGCCCATCAAGATTCAAGAAACCGAACAACTCGCCCATTAATTCAATAAGATAACATAATGTGTCCCTAGATGTGTAAGACAGACTCCACATTGATTAGACCCCCTTTAGACTCCACATGATTAGACCCCCTTTAGTTTCGCACTGTCTACATTCATTTATTGACGATGCGTTTCCTAAATGTGCGTGGAAAATCATCACACCACATGCTCTTTTAATTTTGGCCCATCAGGCTCATTCTCTCTATTCTGCAGTAAATAGATTTCATAGCTGCCAGCCATACAGCTCAAACAACTCAATGCTTTCTGCCTCTGCCAGTCCTTTCTCTTTAGCTCGTGGTTCAACATTGTTTAGACATCACTCAAAAGCTCACTGGATTGGTTCGCACTGCCTCTCTAAGAAACCACGGGTGCTGATTGGTAGTCCACTGGAGGCAGAAAGAGGGCTTGTCCCAATTGCTGTTAATGTTGTGTAGGTGGCATAGCGCAGTGGGCACTGGGGCTAAGTGGAGGTGGTGCATGGCAGCCCAGACACTCCCGGTGATTGATTTCCTCTTTGGAGGCGAGGCATGTGGAGTGCACATCCGCTGTTTTTTCGCCTGACACGATGGTGTGACTGTGTGATCTATGAGACACCTGTGGCCAGGATTTCTGATTTATACAACCACGACAGAGCTGACTGTGCCAGTGTTAGTAATGGCTCCGTGTGCACCACAGCCCCCTGAAGAACAGTTTTACCCCGCCATATAGAGAGAAACCTTTTCACATGCCCCGCGAGGAGATAAGCAGGAGAATCCGATTGCGGTGGGTTAAGGAGCGATGCGTTTTGATTTTTCACAAACCGACTTATTCATTTTTCACCGTGAGTGCTTGCAGCCTCAAATAGAAAAGGCATGCATTTGCATTCTCACAAACAACGTCGATGGGACCAGTGACTATAAGGTAGCAATACATTTAACTGATAGTTAGGCTGCAGAGCTTTTGACAAGTTGTATTATGTTGCTCGTGTTTGCTCTAAGTCAAATCTCTCGCATAATACTGGGAGTGTATTTCCTCCTCCTTCACAGGCCCAGGAATTGAGCCCTGGGGGGCTCTTCATGGCTTAATGTCCTCACAACATTGCCCATGATTTCTAGATACAACCTGAACTGACGGAGAACAGAACCAGATGGACTGGGATTTTTTCCTGATTCAGCATTATCTAATGTCTTCACTATTGCTGTCTCTGTGCTATGATTTTGTCATGAGCCAGATTGAATATTGTCAGAAAATCTATTTACATTTAGAAAGTAATTAGCGGAATTACCACACACACACACACACACACACACACACACACACACACACACAGTAATCCAGACAACTCTCTGTAGTCATCTGTGGATAATTAATGAAGCAAAAACAGACATTAGCTTGTCACCACTTAATAATGCAACTCCCTGACATTTGTCTCACCTCACTGACAGTTGTATGTCAAATTCTAAAAATAGGATGACGTGTGCGCTGTTTGCTTCGCTGTTTGTTGACAGTAACGGAATAGTGTTTCTCTTTTGACAAAAGTGACCTCAGCATCACAGTTCTCATGAAGTGTTCTCATCACAGTATCCGCAACGGCACGTTAACAAGTACAAACGTTTGGCAGTGGTATAAATTGCATTAAAACAATTACTAATGTACTTGTTCAGCTCTGACCAGCAGTGGCAGCCCTGAGCACCAGCAGGCCACTGTGTCTAATGGCCACGAGCTGGAGGTCATGTGACATGCACCCCTTCATTAAGTGGAAGGGTAAGATCCCCCACAGCAGAAGTCCAACAGACATAGTGTGTAGTTCACATATTCATCTGACTTGACATTCAGTTTTGCACAATGTCTGACTGCAAAAGAAAAAAAAAGAAAGAAAAGAAGACTGCAAGGAAGAGCATGACTTACTGATTTCCTTGAACCGCAGGTCACAGTTTAAACTGAATTGTGTGGCTGTGGAATATTAATGTGTTTGACTAGCGTCCCCCACAACCTCTCGTACGGATCTCGGGGCCAACCTCTGCTGCTGTAGAATAGAAAACCATATTGCCTCAAGATGTTCTCTCTGGTGGACACGCAGTCCTTTGAGGATTTGAAAAAGTAAAATTCACAGAGTGCTTGTTGCAGGGATGTGATGCAAATAACTTCAAAACCCCCAATAAGAGTGGATAATGATGAAAGTCACATACAATGTGGAAACCAAATTCAATTCAGCAAATGGGTAACTTCAAAGATATCTCTAATTAAGGAAATGACAGAACATATGTAATTAAGCCATTTGCTTAGAACAAGAACAATATCCTTTAGAGATTGCTTATGATTCAGTGCAACATCAATTACTGGAAATTTGTTTTTGTCAAACAATGTTATTATGGAAGCAAAATAAGATATGAAGTTGTACAATTACATACAGATATGTCAAAACTGTTACAGACACTTGTGAGACAAAAATGGGATAAAATCTTCAAGGATTGTTGCTCAATAGAGACATACTGTACGGACGATAAGCGGGCAGAAACATTAAAGGGTCACTTCTGCACTTTAGTCATGAATAATGATTTAATTGCACAGCTGGACTTTTTGCCACACCCCGACCCCGACATCAAACCACACATGGACAGAATCAAAAGCCTGATCAAAGACCAGAGACTCTCTGTATGATATGAACCAGATTTGCTATGAAAACATTCTCTTTATGCGTGAAGGTTCTGTCAGTCAGTGGGGAAATGTTTTATTCATTGTTTCTGTGCTTCAGAGGCCTCGTATATATGTCTGGGTTTTCTGATTCCTGTTTAGTCAGAAGGATACAGTAAGTGAGGCAGAGGTTGTGGCGCGTTCATACAGTAGGTCAAGTCAAGTATGTGCTCATGGTCAATTAACATCTGTTAGCAAGGGAGGAATCTAAAGTATGTGAATGGAGTGCATACATAACACTGTGTCCTGTTAATCCAGAAAGGTATCTGTTAGTTCACTTTCTGGGTTCAAAATTGGCTTTAAAAAAAAGCTCAGCTGTAGCTTATTGGCATCAGAGAAACAGTTAGCCACCCAGATGCTCTTGAGCACAAAGTGTAGTCTGATGAGCAAAGCTTCCAGTCGATAATAAATATGGGGCGTTCTCTTTAATGCAGGATGTAGGAAAGTCTGAGCAGAGAGGTGGCTGGGAAAGTGCAAAACAATGACAAAAGAACGGGGTTAACAATCTGGAGATGCAGAGCTCCAAGTTATGAATTTAAACAATTATTCTGCTGGATATTTTTCAGGATTAATCAATGAATTGTTTCGTCGAGGAAATGTCAAAACATTTTGAGAAATAAAGACAATATGTATATATATATATATATATATATATATATATATATATATATATATATATATATAAACAAACAAGTTATTGCTACGCTCCATGATGACCCGCATCATTGTGAGATATATTTTCCTGTTCTCTGAAAGCACTGATTGGTAGGTGTCCCGCAAAAGCACATTTGTTTGAAATGTTCTCATTATCTTGACCCCAGTCGGTTACTTGGATATATAAGTGAAGTCGTGGAATGGCTCAAATGTGCTTGAGGCTTTAAATTATTTTCAACTTGCAAGAGCTACACCACTCAAGAGGAGAGAGAGTGGGCGACTCCTTCGTGGCTCCTCTCACTCCCCTCCGGGCTCCAGTCGGCTGGACAGCTGTCTGTGAGGTGAAGATGGGTTGTTAGGCAGATGGTGACTGAATGACTTTATTTAACCTGCCAGTTCCAGCCTTGCACCTCCTCACTGTTCTGTGGCTTGTCTCTAATATATGCAGCACCTGATTGACGCCAACGAAATAACACCTTTCAACAAATGCTGGTGTTTAAAGCTTTACTCACAAAAAAAAGTGCTGTGGTGTGACTGATGTTGTGCGCCAATGGAAAGGCTGCCTAATGAGAGCTAATTACATCATGATGCTAATTGATGTGTCAGCCAAGGCTTGAAATGAAGGCTGTAGATGGTCCCTTGCTTTTAGTTTTCTGCCTTCGAACAAATCACACCACTGAAAGTATACAGAGGCAAACTCATTCATCAGATAATGTTAACCTTAACATACACATAAACAAAGCAGATAACCCAAATTATCTTTTTTTATGCATCCTGCCTATAGCTGCTGAGCACAGTGTGTCATTTCTGTAGAGTATTCATACATGTGGTTTCCTTTGTAGTTGCATGTGGCTACCTAAATGTGCTGTTGTTGTTTATGACTGTGTGTGGGTTAAAGCCCCAGTGCCCATGTAATATGATTACTGTGCAGCTTGCTGTGCCTCAGAAGTGCGTTGCATAGTTATTGAGGCCAGGGAAAGGCCACCGGGGTTTCTGTCTAATGCAGTTTTAACACCTGAATATAGCTGCACAGTCACACCTTTGGTAGGACACCCCTGAACCGCTTTATAAATGACTTTAAAACACTGCATGTCTTGGTGTGTGTGTGTGTTTGTGGATGATAAAGTGGAGGAAAAAGGAAAGAAAGGGAGTGAGAGAGAGACAGTGGGTATGTGTGAGCGCTACGGAAGAGCTAGAACATTTCTCATACCAGCAAAAGTATAGTGTGTGTGTGTGTACATGTGGGTCCCCAACACCAGGTGTTGGCCAACTAGGGCAATATGTGAAAACAACCTTTCGGCAACAAACAGCACATAAACTGCAGGTAAGAAAGTGACCACAGTAGATCAGAGAGGTTACCCTGCTCTCCGCACATACATTCATCATCAGGCTTCCCATAGGGCACTTTGTATTTCACAGCATTCACCAGGGTGCATTATGGAATAGGGTACCATGTGGCGTCTTTGCTACACTTTGTACTTTGGTTTGTTTCTAAAGAGCCTACAAGGACAATGCTGTACCAGTGGTTAAATATTGTGTGATTAAGCCCATTAACTACAAATGAGATATACTATACATTGATGCCCTTTCCTCAAGAATACAAACACTTTTCAGAAAGACTTACCCCCTTTTTAAAAGTCACATTGTCATCACATGTCCATGCAGTGGAAACTACTGTGAAAACTGTCCTTGCTGGTGTGTTCAAGGATGCACCGACATCTGAGTTGGCTGTTGAAAAGCGCTGCATCCCCAAGCTGTTAACATGGAATCAAACCCAGAAAGCATACATTACTCACAGACATGGACACTGTGAGACAGATCAAGGGGAGAATGTTCTAAGTTCCCTCTTGCAGTTGCATTACTATGCAAATGTGATGCAACTCTGACAAAATCAGAGGCAAAGGAAAAAAAATGTTTTGGATCGCTTATCTTTAAAGTCCTAATCCGTAAGCTTTCCGTTCTGGTCGATTTGGCGACACCTGTGCTTACTGGTGATAACGCTAAGAAGTTCTTTACAATACAACTCCCAGAATTTCGTTCCAAATTACTGGGGGCAGGAAACCTACTTTGTGCAGCTACCCTGTGAGAAATACTACTGAGGAAGACAAGCAACTCATGTATTTGCTTCTTTGTTCAGCCATGACGAAAATGTCTTCATACGTCTTCTTTATTGCACTCTACTTGTGGCGATGCGAATATGATTCCGCTTGGAAAACGGGACCGGCTGCTCTGCTCTTCCAAATTATGGCATTACAAGAGTTTTGCAAAAATTACATTTGTTATGTCAAATATGCTCACGCATCGTTTGCTGTGAATCTAACACCATTCAAATCCAGTGTAGGAATGATGGAATGTGGATGTAATGGCAATAGTATTGCAAATTGGGTTTGATATGATTATAATGTTAATGATTATAATTCTGAGAAAGTTTTACACGTCTTTTTTTCATAATGTAGTAAAATAAATGGAATTCACTAACTGCCTGGAAGGTTCTTAATACACGTAAATTGTCAGAAGCAATATGAGTTTTTTTACAGCTTGTAGCACCATGCATAATTATATTGTTAATAAATGTAATGTGTATGTGTGTGTGTGTGTGTGTGTGTGTGTTTTGCAGCTGCTGTCAGACAGTCAGATCAACATGGTGAAGGTGGTGAACTCAGTGAGTGATGCTCTTAACGCCATGCAGAAGGAGAACGTGGGCCTGAAGGCGCGCGTCAAGGCCGACTTGCAGAGGGCACCGGTCAGAGGGGCCCGCTTCAAGGGCTGCGCCAACGGTAAGAGAAACGAGGCGCGGTCGGACGATCTGTACCTGTCTGGCTGGATTCGATTCTTTCTTTGTAGATTTGTCTGTCTGATTCTCGATTTGTCCCTTTGCCTCTGTGTATGTTATTCATACATCACCGACCCCCCTATATGTTTCACCTTCTGCCACTGTATTCCGCTCTGTGTTGTGATCCTTTGCCAACCCGACTCCACTATTCTTTGAAATTGTATTCCTGTGAGGTCTGTCATCCATCTTACCACATAGTCATTCAACTCAACATCTCCTGGTGATATCAGTATGTTTCCCTGGGCTACATCTCCTCCACATTATCCAGTGGCCTTGGTAGAGCTGTGGATTTTTTTTTTTTTTTTTTACTATACATGAGAAATGACTTGCATGTCCACTGGGCTGTGTTGCTGGGAGGGCAGAGAAAGACCCGAGGCATCATCCCATTGGAAGGCTTTTAACCAGGCACAGTACACCCAATGCCATTCCCCTGTTGGATTTCCCCTGCAAAGGTAGCCAAGGAGCACAGAGCGAAGACTACTCATGTATAGCACACGGCATACAATAGCACAGCGAGAGAGATATTCACGTTTTTTGGGAGAGCAGCATGGCGAAGATGTCTCATAAATCTGCAAACATGAGAGCGAAGGCATATGCTTTTTCTTTTGCACTAAGGAATTGAAGTGCTTCACATGACTCACCGGGTGTTTTATTAATTAATATGCTATCTTACAAACAGTTTCGGGCCTGTGACATTATCAGCTTGATCTTCCGGTGCTGAATGGGCTCACACATCTGCTATCTATCAGCAATCTATCGCCTGGAATTCTCACCTGCACCTGATGATGGTTTGAAAATGAATCTAAAAACTCTTAAAGTTTTTAATGTCAGTGGATCTTCTGGGTACAGAATACAGTTACATTTTTCATTTACATTTATTTTCATCAGGATGACAGCCTTCTTGTTTAAGGCGCTTAATTACAATGTCCTGATTATAGGTTATTTAATTATTGTTATTATTATTTTTTTTTTGTTGCTATATTGAATACAATTACAGATCTGTTGGGGGTTAAAATTTTGTTGTGGTGTCAACTAAACTTGTTAGTAAATGTTTAAAATGAATGTGCACTATAAAGTAATGCATGATTTTATCTTAAGTCTACCTAAAACCTGATCAAGACCAAACACACCGTTACACCTAAAACAAATTTTTGTGAAACCTCCAATTTCGGTTATTGTGCATTGAAAAATCTCCTTAAGCAACATAAACTTCTCAAATATCCCACTAAAGTATCAGAAAAAGCTGAAAAGCAGGCCTGCTCCACATGACATTTTGGAGAAACATGGCTTTCATAGGCCAGCGCGGATGGACTGGTTGAAACTCTGTCCATGGTGCTGAACTTGTGTTTCACACAGTTGTATGCCTGACACCCCCTTCCAGATTTGTCTCGCCTTAACCAGATTATCTGAAGCAATAAGCAAACAGTTTCTTAAAACATACCAGAATCCAGGGTGGTCATACATGTTCGGATGTTAGCAGAATGCTATATCACAGGAGGTATTATAACTGAAGTCATTACCAAAAGATTGAGTCAATTCATTAGCCGCATGAGGAGAGCAAGAATAACTCGCAATGTGATGCAACAGGATGTGAAGCATCATCACTGCTCTAACGAACTCAAAAGAGAGAAGGAATTTAATGAGGTAACATTTATTGCAGGGCTGTCATTTTGCATTGCATTTGATCAAACACGCGTTTGTGTTATACACCATGTCATATAGGGAAATGTCTGGTACAGTGTTCATAATCAGGGATGATTATGTATTAGCTCCGTGTTTTTTTTTCAAAATCGGTTCCTGCCCAACACGCTGAAGTCAGCAGCCGGTACAAGGTTGTAATGACGATTACATCAGTCCTGTTGTTGCTTGCTGGAGTGTGGCTCATAGGCTGTTCCTGTTGTCATCACTTCATACCGACAGTCCTGGAAAGAGCAGTCCAGTTCAGTCAGCCCCTCATTATTATTAATATTTTACCCATATGAGCAGTTCACCCATTTGCAGCAAATTAATATGGGAAAGACGCGTTTACTAAAACCAGTGCATTTTTTAAGAAGCCATTTGTTTTTTGCAGTTTTACTTTTGAAGTTTAAAACAAAAAAAAATGTACATAAATTATTGGGTTTGTCTGTTTGGGGATTTGGGGTTACTGAAATATGCAGACCTATTCGTACAAAGCAGATTCAGCAGAGGCACAGTGGACCTAACGCTGAAGGCTTGAATTTGTTCTTCTTTGTGACATTAACACAAGAGATATTGGGAGAATAAACATATCCTTGTTTACTCATTATCATTCCATGTGAGATTTCTAGAGAATTACCTGTATTTCTGTATGTTGTCCTGACATTATTTTGTCCTGGGCTCTATACAGCCAAGGGGGGAGGAAATGCCATCCTATTATTAAGCAAAATACAGCTATTAGTCTCCCCTTAGTAGCTTGATCTGTAGATGTTGCCATCTATATAGAGCCAGGATTTAATCTGGTGCCCTTGTAAGCTAAAATGACTAATTTGCTTTGACAATACCAAACGGTTTCAGGGAATCTTTCTCTGTTATTTGTGTTTATAATTGATCACCCCCAAATGTTTCATGTAAACGTAAATGTCAGGAGTAAAGCTGTACAGCATTCACAGTAATCGACCAATCAGCACCAAGGTTCAGCACCATGGATAGCGCCTCACTTATTCTCTGCTCAAGGCGCAGGATTCTTTGAAAGCACTTACATACAATACATAAAATATATGTGTATAGAGTATGTTAAGTTTGCATTATTTGTACATGTTTATGTTGTACACATTTTAAGTCCACCACATCCCGCTTGAAATGTAGTTATATGCCGGTTTCCACTCCCAACACATATGTATCAAATTGAACAGCACACTGGACAGCACATTTCTTTACATTTTATGTCTGTTTCTTTACGTCTGTGTGCATACGTTTGGGGCACATCCACACACATCTTTGGCTGCCTGTCTGTCCCACTGTGCCTGTGGATATTTGAAGTATTCATTTCTGTACTGTTTGCATTGGATTCCCATAAGAGCATATTAGATTCTCAAAGTTATATGAATCCAAACCTGACAGCAGTGAAGCCCCTCTCAGCTCAGACGGTAGCGGGGTTTTCTGAGTTTCACGAAACCACTGTCGGAGTCCTACTTTTCAGTTCATGCACTGCCTGACTTCGCTGTGCCGTTGCTCAAGTGAAAGCCCATTTATGTTATTGTTACTGTTGCTGCCACATTAATTATTCAGTTTTATGAGTAGTGGGCATTTCAAAACACAAGAGAGAAAGACAAAGCATACATAAAAAGGTTAGACGCAGGGACATGTGCATGGATGGAAAGCACTATAGTGGCTGCCACAGATGAGCAGTGTTAGCTGGAGATGCGAGTGCGGGGTGCATTTAAATGAGTTCGGTTCCTGCTGTGCAGTGCCTGTGATGTCAGAGTGACTTACTTTGAAGGGTTTATGCAACTGAGGATTTTGTCACCAAACAGATGAGATTCAGGACAGATGCTCTCCTAGTCTGACAGGAGACCCATTTGCCAGAATGTTGTTTTTTTTTTGACAAACCACGCGATGGGTTGAATGTCAACATTTCTCAACCAAAAATACGCTTCATAAATATGTTTCATATCAGCCTCGTATCACACTTGCAGAAAAAAACAATGCATTTGTGAAATGATTGGTTAAGTGACATGGAGCTGAGGATCGAACTGCCGATCCTCTGATTGAAGGACGACACCGCTTACCACTGAGCCACAGTGGCCTATGTAACATTATGTAACAAGTGCAACAATGTAAAGTCAACTCTTACTTTATGTTTCACACGGGACTCCTGGGGGAAAAGTCCTGTTTGTTTGTTTAACACAACACACCCCATCCGCATGCCTTTAGTGGACTTTCTCGCTTATTATGCCACGTAACTTTCAATAACGATCTCTCGATTTATTTCATCTGTTGCTCTGCACGTTGCTCGTTGTACTTCGGTGAACCGAATGTAACAAGGTCCACATTCAACGTATCAGTGGGCTGCCTCAAAGGTCCCAACACCAACACACGCAGTAGTTCATGCGCACATCAAACCAAACCATACACTCATCTTTAGAAATATTCTATATTTTTCAAATTTTCAACAAATCCTACATTATGATCCTGCTAACAAGTAGCATATAGAAATCATGGGACCATGAAGTCCACAATGGTTACAACAGGCAACAGGACGAATGGTCACACAGGGATGTGACGCATCATGCTAGTTTGATAGCTAGGTTACATGTTGTCACTGGATTAGAAAATGATGCAATGTGAATAAATTCTAATAATAGAATACCAAATTATTTTTCACTTATGGTAAATTGTGTGCGCACCAAGTTGTGAAGTTAAAGTGGACCTGGAAAATCTGTAATGCATCATTAAACTGAAGAAACTTTGAAAGCTCTCGTTACAGACGACCAAATTCTTAAATAATGATGACAGTCTTTTTTTAATGTCCCATGGAACCCAGGCAGCTTCGGTTTTCTGTCATGAAAAGAAGAACCGGGAAATTTTACCGTTTATGTGTGATGATGATGAAAGTCGGAGCGCAGTAGTCGAGGCTTAACATGGAGAAATGAAAAAGCTTCTGGAGACCAAACATTCCACATCGTGTAGTGATGGTTAAAATAAAATCTTCTACGGCCTTTTCAAGAACTCTGCTGGCTGTTTTAGGGGTTTGACCCTGCGAAGGCTGGCATGCATAATCTATGACATTGTCCCTCCTGGGGAATAGATTTTGTTTCCTGTTTCGCCGTCTCTTCTTCTCTGCACTAACTTTTCCTCAACTCTCTTTTTCTGTCTGTTTCTCATAAGCTCTCGTCACTCTCCCCGTCTCGTTTTCTGTGTGGCATCGCTCAAATCTATATATCTCACTGAGCCATACTTCCTCCTCTCCGACTTCTATAACGTCTTTCGTTTCATCCTCTTCCCTACAACTTTGTGTTATCTCAATTTCCTGTCTCTGTGCAATATATCTGCGTCTTCTCTGCGGCATCACATCCGCGCACCGCCCTCGTGCCTTTCTGTCTTCATTTCGACCTGCTCGTGTTCCGTCTTTTTTCACGTTTTTTATCTTCGCTGCACTTAGACTCCGTTGTAGCACCGTGTCATCTGTCAACCCATCTCTCCATACATCTTCTTTTTTTGTGTGTGTGTCTCCCAACTCCGCACGGCCATTCTCTACCTCCTCATTGCTCGTTCTATCCTTTTTCAAGAGCAGGGAGCTTGCCATCCTTTTCGAAACACTTTGAGGTTTCATTTTGACAGGAAGACTTCACAACACAGACCCAGAACCACTCCTCCATGTTAACTGTATACTGGTGTGCCTCTCTATGGCTGTAGACAGAGGACAAAGTGTGACAAGTGTGATCTCATGTGTTCCTCATTTCCTCTTTATTACTGATTACACTTTACCGCTCCAAGCACGTGTTCCCTTTGCAAGCCATATTGGATCTAATTTATTTCATGTCCCCGCGACTTTCACCTCTCCCTAGGCTCGCGTCCCCGTGACTGCGGTGATCTGTACGCCAGTGGTCAGAGAGAGGACGGCATCTACTCAGTGTTTCCTGTTCACTACCCTGCAGGCTTCCAGGTCTACTGCGACATGACCACAGACGGAGGAGGCTGGACGGTGAGTCAGAGGGAAACACGTATTACAGTTATACACAGGCTCATAAGCTGTATATGTATCTAAAATATAAAAAAAAACATTCACATAGGGGTTATAATCAACATTAAAATGGAGGCCTATTCACTATGTCTGCTTTTACAAATCTATTATTATTTATTAATAGCAACAACATAAAAATGATTCACTGAGCATGAATCTGTCTAACTGCAACACCGGTTCCATTCGAATCACAGCCATGCGGCACAAGACATCATATACTGGACACCTGCTGAGATTACACTTGCACTGCCTTAGGATTCTCATGTATCAATCTGAAAAGGTCTCATCACAGTTGGATCACAGAACAGCGAGCAGATCTTAAGTTTCACGTGGACCCCTTTGAAAGCAGTCCATTCATTTACATGTTTCGTTTTTTTCCCATTTAGAAAACAGAATGCTAATTAATCACATCTAAGTGAGGATGTCATCAGGTAGCCTGCTGAAAGGAACATGAATAAAGAGGAGCGAGAGAAAGAAGGCCAATGAAACAGGGTTCTGAGAGACGCGGCAAAAGAACCAAAGTGCATCCGATGAATCATTATGTCTTTAGTAGGACAAGTAAATGGTGCCATAATCACAAGGGGAGAGATTTTAGTGTTAGCTGTTACCGCGACAATTGATGGCAGAAACATAAGTAAATCATAACAATCTAACATATGCGCTGTGGCTGAGACGTGTTCAGCCCGCTCATGTCATGACAGCTTCCATTTTGAATGTTGTACAATGTGTACAATTCCATTGGAGCTGGTGCATGTCTGACCTGTTTATGTTTTGGTATTGTAAATCTTGCATTCTCGTCTTTGCATAATGATATTTTGACAGGATTTGGGATTGTTAAATGTTGACACGGAAACATATACTTCGAGTTTCTTTAAGTGTGTGTTTTTTCTTTCCTTGATCAAACATCTGTCAGTTGTCTGGCCTTGCTAAAGTAAACAGAGCTGTGTAAGAGAGACTGTATACTGGAAGCGCCGTGTCTTTTGGGAATGACAGACAGCGAGGTGAACAAACATTGACACTGAGCTGTTTGAAGTTATATTTGGATGTGTGGTTTAGATGTATTTTACTGTGCGCGCACACACACACACACACACACACACATACCATCCTACTGGTTAGAGCCATTTATTTCCCTTTGTTCTGAAGTATACTGTAGCAGTCCTCTGGGAAAGAAGAGCAGTTCTTAATAGAGAACTAAGGCCTTGTAACACTTTAACAGTTTCAGCTACATGAATCCATCACAACTCCCTTTTTGTTTTATTTTTACTGGTTCCGATGCATTTATGAAGGCACCCAGGGGCTGGCTGTGTAATCTGTTCAAAAGTATTCAGTCATACATACTGCATTTAGTAATAAAGGTCCAATCTGCTATCTTCTTCCAGCTTGTGGGTGTGATGCGGTCTTGTTGACATCACTTTCACGGATGTTTTAAACGTGTTTCGTGTGTGAAAATGTCATAGAGGTGTAGAAACTGTCTCCATAGTTTCAATATGGATCATTTCCTCTTAACAGCTTTACTAGCAATCTCTGGCTGCAAATATATACATGTGTTTGTCTGTTCTTTCCACTGTTCTTAGCTGTTAACACCAGTGCTACCTGCTTCTCCAAAAATAAATATCCAGTGTAATAACTAATACTTAGAAGAAGCTTAGAAAAGCTAAATATATTCTCATCCCACTCTACAAACACATACAGCACGTGTCAAACTCAGTCATGACAGTGAGTTGCGTGTGTTTGTGTGAGCGCGCTTGGAAATCGGTGACTAACTGTGCGAGATGGGCAAGGTCGTCCCCTACGATCATCAAATAAAACAATACTGTCAGTTTGACAGAGTGCTTAGCACAGCATGATGGAATGGAGTTACATACCAGACTGTCGCTGCGTAAATGCTCATGTGTGTGTTTGCGCGCGTGCGGCTGTGTATGCATGAATTAATGTTTGTGCCAAACTACGTGCATCTATACATACATAGCTTGTGATTGTGCTTTCAGCTTTGCTCCCTTTTTGCACAGTGCTCAGTGAGAAAGTGTTAAGTAACGGCTCTTTGCATGTTCTTTCATAAAAAAAAGGATTTATGTAGCAGCTGAGATTGAAGTGATAACGTTGCAGTCACCGAGTGTGCCGTGTGCGTTGAGCTGATTGTGATCACGCTTGCACCTCATTAAGAGATCAGCGCGGTGTGAGGTAACAGGGGCAGGTAGGGAGACGGCATGCATAGTGAGTTGAGTTGCTTACTGTCTGTCTGACGGTTGACTGCCATATGCCGGCACCTCATTAGCATGCGTTTGACATAACGCAGCACCGTTGCAGAAAGTCTGAGAGATGAGAAGGTTACTTAGATGAAGACGGCGAGGAGACGAGAGCGCGATGCAGAGGAGACAAAGACGAGAGGGCCCGATGAAAACATCAGAATCTGATGTTGAGAGAGAGAGAAAGGAAGACATACGGATAAAAATATATAATACGCAATAAGGGAACAGCAATTCATTTTATTTTCTCCGTTCTCCGAAATACATTCATTCAGATCAGGCCTTCAACTGAATCTTTCTGTTCTCTTGTATTTGCAGTGAAAAGGTATAGCCCTTAGGGAGCCTCTGGGTTAACGCCTGTGTCTTAAGTGATGGTGACAGGAAGAAGCCAGAACTACTGTAGATGCCAATACGCAAAACTGTAACATTAGTCAGTGATTAACATTAGAAGGATGTTTGCTCATATGTCTGTTTGTATATCTACATCTCTCAGTATCCAAATTCACCAGAGCACACCAAAGACTTGGTTTTGCATGTATGGGTTTGTTAATGCGTGGGTACACATGCAGTGTTTGTGGACTATACTCATGATGCCCAACAAGGTTTTCTTTAGTTCGAAGAAAAAAATGTCCAAACAAATCCATCAGAGGCCCTCAACTATTTCAAACGGCAACAGCTTTTTTTTGTTATCAAAGAAACTATTTTCCGTAATACTCTGCATGATGCACAATCAGACTGTCCAAACCAACCCGGCCACCCACAAATATTTCTAACTTTATAAATGAGAAACTAGCTTTTAAAACCAGGCGATTGGGGTATAAAACGACACACTGAATAACAAAGCCTAAGCTGTCAGGTTGTTTCAGAGAGACACTGACTCGGGCGTAGTGACTCATAGATCACATATACGTGCGTGTCTATTTTGAAGAACCTATACAAAAATAAACAAAGGGAAGCAATGGCTGCTTCTTTGCTATCTTTTGACAGCTATTGCTACTTCAAACCCAGAGCCAGGTGTGCATAGTGTTCGCTGTATGGAGCTGACAGTTATATCAACACAGAGAAGATAAATACTGTAGCATGAACTAAAACATGGAAACATGAGTTTGAGTTAACAGTCATTTTGTCAGCCAGACATTCAGATTTGGGCAAAACCAAGTAGAGCCGAAGGGCAGGTATCAATTACCAATCAAGGCAAACATGACCTTAATCCAAACCAAACCAAAGGAATATTTGAATCCACTTTTGTCAAGTAGTGCAATATGTTCACTCTCTTGCCATGTCCTTTACTCAAATGTAGACATAGGGAATGCAAACACACACAATAAAAAAAGGTAAAATGCTAATAAAATATGCTAGAATTAAATCCCCTTTTCAGGACCATGGATAGCACCACTCGGCCAGACGTGCCAAAACACTTAATATACTTCAATATTTAATAAAAAATAACATCACAACAGCACAATGTACTGTTAACATAGCACTAAATAAGCTACAGTACAAACCTACTTGTTAAACGAAGAAAACTTTCTTCTTTGATGACTTTCTTCTTTTTTCTGCTTTCCTGTGGAGGGGTCATTTTGATTGGAGACGTTCATAGCGTGTCCTCGATGTGGTGTATAATCTCACAAGGACGAAATCCATTTTTTATTTACTTGTTTCTATTGGTAAAGTAGCATTAATCCCGATGAGGGGGGAATACATTTTATCTCAACCAGTGATGAAAATAATTCCGTTGAGGCGGGGACATATAGACCTGAATGCACCCATACTGTACATACAGTATAGATACAGTACATACCGTTTATGTAGTGTTACTTTTGGGAGACAGGGTGAGGGGGTTCTTTTCATTTTAATAGAGTCTAAGTCACTAGAAAACTGTGTCCTTTAGTGTCCACTAAGAACTAATAGGAAGAGAGGGGACTATAGTACAGGTTGATGTGGATGGTTATCAGAGGAAATTGGTCAGTATTTCACCACTGCCATAACTCAGGCCCTGGAGACTGTTTGAGCACAAAGATAGGAGGGATGATGGCAGATAGGACGTAAAATAGAAAACCTGTCATTACGAGGCCCCAAGCTCCTCAAAACACAAATACAAACACACACACACACACACGCATGAAAGAGTATATTGGACCATACCAAAGAAACATCTATACAATCAAAGAAGCGTACATATGCCATCTCTACGTACAGTAAATGTGTGGTCATATGTGCTTACAGACCCATGCTTTCACACACACACATATACTAAAATATGTATACGCACAAGCCCCTCAGTCAGATAAAGTAATCCTTTGGGCATGTGGTGTACCTGTTTCGGCAAAGGGGGATTCCAAATGCCATTTAAACACAGCCTCGCAGCTTAGGGTAAAGTCTTCTATTATTTCTATTTTATTTGTTAAAAGGAAGGGACTAAAAATGACCACGGCATTATTAATGAATGAGAGTAGATACATCGGAGTGCAGTGTGGGGCTGCATTATCAAATGGTGCTTTTATCAGAAGTACTGCAATCACTCTCAAATATACAATTCAGCTAAGAACTGAAAAGTAAAAGTTTTAGATTGAATGTACGATTGTGTGCATGTTGTATCACCCCTTTAGAGGCTCGGAGTGCCTTTGAGCCTCTCAGAGTGTAAGGAATAGGCTTTTCAGTGTCTCTATCTGGCTCACAAGCTCTTCAATATTTCATCTGTTAGTTTATTGG